GCTCCGGTGGTGGAATCTTCTGGCTTTTTATCATCCCGGATTCTGAGGAAGCGAGGAAAGCGCAGGGAGATCCCCTTGTCTGGATCCACCTGCCGCAGACGGACCACAAGCACGTCACATGTCGGCTCTTTCCCTAAGAACCGCACAGATCGCCGAGACGCGTGCGGCCGCCAGGACCAGCCCCCGGCGTCAAACTGACCAATCCCATGGCAGCCTTGTGGACGGGAGACAGGGACAGGTCCGCACACTTCACTTCCCACACCTGCACCGCATCCAGCCACAGGTCGGGCTCTGCTGATTGGTCGACGCGGTAGTATGGCCTGGGCTTTGGAAGAACGTGTTCCTGGATGGGGGATGGTGGGGGGGGGGTGAGTTCTGTGCCGTACCTTTGAACAATCTGTCTTATTTGAGCGCCGATTTCATCTCCATACCTTAAGAAAGTTGAAATGCTGCTGGAGGTCCTCATCTTTAAAGCCCGTTCCAATCTGAGAGTGAAAAATGATTCATTTTGAAAGTTACTTCTTAGAAGGCAAACGGCGGCTAAGAAGCAGGGAAGAAAGAGAATAATAGTAATATGATTTGGCCAAAGGGCGAACTGCCACGCGAGCGAGAGCCGATTACAGAGACCGGCCAGGCCGCCGGCAGCGAGACTGCTCCTGGCCCGAGGCTGTATGGATGAGGAGGGGGGAGAGAATGGGCCGCGGGGGGAGGAGACCGGGGGCCCACCTTGCACACAGACTGGAACTCCTCGTTGTCCTCGTCGTAGCAGGCGAGCAGGAAGCCTCCGTAGGAACCGGCCCGCTTGCCTTTCCCGACGTAGGCACCGATGACGCAAAGATCCACCGTGTCCCCCACGCCGTCCAGGTAGTCCTTCTTCAGCTGTCAGACAAGGGCGGGACATTACAGTCACTGCGGCGTCGCAGGAACAAGCATGCCGCCGCTTAAACCAGCCTTCTGCTCGAACCCCAAGGTCGTGAGCTAATCCACGGCAAAAATGGGCTTTACTGCTAAGCCGGAAGAGGCACCTTCAGCCAGTTGTGCGAGCGCTTGGCTATTTCATAGGTGGCGTCTTTCTCCAGGGTCTTCACCATGAGGCCCTCGCACGAATCTGTGTGAGGCGGAGAGAGCGTGCTCAGAGCGTGTCGGGACCGCGTACGAGGGGCGGGTGCCCCCCCGGCCTCACGGCCGCCGTCTCCCACCTCGCACGGACAGCTCGAGGAACTCCGCGATGGCGTCCGTGTTGTCGCAGTCGAGTGCGCGGGCGAACACAAACTCTCCTTCACGCTCCTCGAAGCTCTCCTTCAGCAGGGCCCGCCGCCTCGATAGAGGCTGCCTCACCAGGGACTGCGGCGGAGAGGCGGGAAGTCAGAAATCCAATCGAATCCGCCGACGCGCCAATCAGGTCGCGGCCGACACCGTCCTTACCTCCCCGTTTAGGTAGAGCAGGTCGAAGGCGTAAACGCAAACCTGCACTTTAATCTCTGAAGCGTCCACGTCCTGAGAGAGACAGTTACATGTGGTTACATGTGCGACTGACATGCGTGCGCGTGCGCACACACACACACACACACACACACACACACACACACACACACACACACACACACACAGTACCTTTCTCTTCCGAGTGGTGAGAACCTGGAAGGGCTGGATCTGTTTTTTTTCCCTGTCCCAGGCCACTGCCTCGGAGTCCAGGATGCAGGACCTCACTGAGGCCTTCTTCACCTGTGAGGGGCACCCCAGTCAAACGGAGCAGCTCGTGTCCACGTGAAAGACCACAAACGAGTTGTGCATTACTGCCCTCCCACCACTAGGGGTCCCTCTGGACTCGGCATTACAGTATCTTCAGAAGCCTAAATACTAGATGCGAACTGATTGCAGCAGCGGCGCAGCGAGGCGGCTCCTCACCTGGGGCACTCGGGCGATGATGTCCGGATATTTGCTGGTGTTGTCCTCTTGGTTACGGCTGAAGACGTGGACCTCCCCGTTCTCCAGGATGTGGATCTGCCAGGCGACATGGAACGGGACGCTGACGGATCAGTAAGCACGGCAGATGCCCCCTAGAGGCCCCTGACCACAGGAGGGCGCCGTGTTGGGGCGCGGCCGGCCAGACGCACCTGCGCTCTCTCCCCGTCGTACTTGTATTCGCACGTGAAGGCGGCCTCGTCGAATTTCTTCATCACCTCTGACACGCCCTTTGTTGGGTGGGCCAACATGGGTCGTAGAGGAACTCCTGAGACAGAGAGATGGGGGGGGGGAGAGAGAGAGAGAGAAAAGTTTGTGTTTTCTTCACCCAACCATCAAACTCAAGACAGACTCTTTATCTCTCTCGCTGTGACACAGACAGACAGACACACACACAGACAGACACACACACAGACAGACACACACACAGACAGACACACACACAGACAG